ACTGAAGCAATGACTGAGCGCCAGATACAAGGGTCAGCGTACAGAAACAATGAATGAGCGCCAGATACAAGGGTTAGCGTACACAAACAATGACTGAGCGCCAGATACAAGGGTTAGCGTACACAAACAATGACTGAGCGCCAGATACAAGGGTTAGCGTACACAAACAATGACTGAGCGCCAGATACAAGGGTTAGCGTACACAAACAATGACTGAGCGCCAGATAAAAGGGTCAGCGTATAAAAACAATGACTGAGCGCCAGATACAAGGGTTAGCGTACACAAACAATGACTGAGCGCCAGATACAAGGGTTAGCGTACACAAACAATGACTGACGCCAGATAAGCGCCAGATAAAAGGGTCAGCGTATAAAAACAATGACTGAGCGCCAGATACAAGGGTTAGCGTACACAAACAATGACTGAGCGCCAGATACAAGGGTTAGCGTACACAAACAATGACTGAGCGCCAGATAAAAGGGTCAGCGTATAAAAACAATGACTGAGCGCCAGATACAAGGGTGAGCGTACACAAACAATGACTGAGCGCCAGATACATTGGCCGGAGTATAGATATTAACAAGGACGACATCAATCACCAATCATATAGATATTTGAGTGAAGATATAAAGACCGCAATTAATAAGACGTGTTTACATTTAGAGAGGCGCGTCATCCCTTTATATAGGGATTGAGTGTCAGATACAACTGTCGGAATGTAGGTACAGGGACTGAGTGTTAGACACAACTGTCGGAATGTAGATACAGGGACTGACTGTAGATACAGGGACTGAGTGTTAGATACAACGGTCGGAATGTAGATACAGGAACTGAGTGTTAGATACAACGGTCGGAATGTAGATACAGGGACTGATTGTTAGAGACAACGGTCGGAATGTAGATACAGGAACTGAGTGTTAGATACAGGGACTGAGTGTTAGATGAAGCGGTCGGAATGTAGATACAGGGACTGAGTGTTATATACAACGGTCGGAATGTAGATACAGGGACTGATTGTTAGAGACAACGGTCGGAATGTAGATACAGGAACTGAGTGTTAGATACAGGGACTGAGTGTTAGATGAAGCGGTCGGAATGTAGATACAGAGACTGAATTATAGGTACAACGGTCGAAATGTAGATACAGGGACCGAGTGTTAGATACAACGGTCGGAGTGTAGATACAGGGACTGAGTGTTAGATACAATGGCCGGAATGTAGATACAGGGACTGATTGTTAGATACAGCGGTCGGAATGTAGATACAGGGACAGAGTGTTAGATACAGGGACTGAGTGTTAGATACAATGGCCGGAATGTAGATACAGGGACTGATTGTTAGATACAGCGGTCGGAATGTAGATACAGGGACAGAGTGTTAGATACAACGGTCGGAATGTAGATACAGAGACTGAATTATAGGTACAACGGTCGAAATGTAGATACAGGGATTGAGTGTTAGATACAACGGTCGGAGTGTAGATACAGGGACTGAGTGTTAGATACAATGGCCGGAATGTAGATACAGGGACTGATTGTTAGAGACAACGGTCGGAATGTAGATACAGGGACAGAGTGTTAGATACAACGGTCGGAATGTAGATACAGGGACTGAGTGTTAGATACAACGGTCGGAATGTAGATACAGGGACTGATTGCTAGATACAACGGTCGGAATGTAGATACAGGGACTGAGTGTTAGATACAGGGACTGATTGTTAGATACAACGGTCGGAATGTAGATACAGGGACTGAGTGTTAGATACAGGGACTGATTGTTAGACACAACGGTCGGAATGTAAATACAATGACCAAGTGCCAGCTGCTAGGGTCGTGCGATTAAATGAAAAAAAGTTATCATTACATAGAACGTCCCCTGTCAAAGGAACAAACAATTTGAGCTAGTTGATATAAAGGTAACCACCCACACTTCGCCCCTTGCAAATGCAAATATTTTATAGTATTTTTTAGAATAGTTTTACAATTGTTTATTTCGAAGTTTTCAAAACAGTATTGACCTTTAGTGTATTTTTCTGACGCACATAGGCTGCGCAAGTGCAAATGAGGATTTGGATTACAGAAAAGCAACCCACTGTCCCATATCCTTTGTAAATATGTGAAAATAATAAAGGGTTTCGTAACTCCAGCCTCGTTTCTGGTAGTTCGTAAATGAGATTTATAAGCTTAAAGGTCACTTTGTATCCTACAAATGACCTTGAGGAGGTTAAAAGTTACTATATCCTTTATGTATCCTAACACCAACAAGCTTACAAACAGGTTATAAGTGACCTTGAGAAGGTTTCTTACCTGTATCATAGCAACATCAGCTTCACCAGTAGTTTATGGGTGACCTTGACAAGGTTAAAGGATACTGTATTTAATCTGTATCCTAGAATACCAGCAGAAGGTTAGGGGTTACTATTTTTACCTATATTCTAGCACCAATTGGTCAACTACGAGTTTAGAGGTGACATTGTGGTATGGTTTCTGTTTTTGTTACTGTACTGTTTACTTCTAGTTTAGGGGTGACATTGTGGTGTGGTTTCTGTTTTTGTTACCGTACTCTATACTACTAGTTTAGAGGTGACATTGTGGTGTGGTTTCTGTTTCTGCTACTGTACTGTTTACTACTAGTTTAGAGGTGACATTGTGGTGTGGTTTCTGTTTTTGTTACTGTACTGTTTACTTCTAGTTTAGGGGTGACATTGTGGTGTGGTTTCTGTTACTGTACTGTTTACTACTAGTTTAGAGGTGACATTGTGGTGTCGTTTCTCTTACTGTACTCTGTACTACTAGTTTAGAGGTGACAATGTGGTGTGGTTTCTGTTTTTGTTACTGTACTCTGTACTACTAGTTTAGAGGTGACATTGTGGTGTGGTTTCTGTTTTTGTTACTGTACTCTGTACTACTAGTTTAGAGGTGACATTGTGGTGTGGTTTCTGTTTTTGTTACTGTACTCTGTACTACTAGTTTAGAGGTAACATTGTGGTGTGGTTTCTGTATTTGTTACTGTACTCTGTACTACTAGTTTAGAGGTGACATTGTGGTGTGGTTTTTGTTACTGTTTTTGTGTGGTTTCTGTTTTTGTTACTCTTGTGGTATGGTTTCTGTTTCTGCTACTGTACTGTTTACTACTAGTTTAGAGGTGACATTGTGGTGTCGTTTCTCTTACTGTACTCTGTACTACTAGTTTAGAGGTGACAATGTGGTGTGGTTTCTGTTTTTGTTACTGTACTCTGTACTACTAGTTTAGAGGTGACATTGTGGTGTGGTTTCTGTTTTTGTTACTGTACTCTGTACTACTAGTTTAGAGGTGACATTGTGGTGTGGTTTCTGTATTTGTTACTGTACTCTGTACTACTAGTTTAGAGGTGACATTGTGGTGTGGTTTCTGTTTTTGTTACTGTACTGTGTACTACTAGTTTAGAGGTGACATTGTGGTGTGGTTTCTGTTTTTGTTACTGTACTCTGTACTACTAGTTTAGAGGTGACATTGTGGTGTGGTTTCTGTTTTTGTTACTGTACTCTGTACTACTAGTTTAGAGGTGACAATGTGGTGTGGTTTCTGTATTTGTTACTGTACTGTGTACTACTAGTTTAGAGGTGACATTGTGGTGTGGTTTCTGTATTTGTTACTGTACTGTGTACTACTAGTTTAGAGGTGACATTGTGGTGTGGTTTCTGTTTTTGTTACTGTACTCTGTACTACTAGTTTAGAGGTGACATTGTGGTATGGTTTCTGTTTTACATCTCATTCTTGTAGTTGACGGATATATATCGGGTACAAAATCCAGACATAGATAAAGTCGGCAGGTGACTATCAGCTGTCAATGACTCAAAACCTTATCTAGTTGGGAGATGAAACTTTTCCAACCTTCGAAATAGCCTTTAAATCATACCCGACAGTCACCAAGGAAACAGTAGACTCAGACTCAGGAGTCGACACCTCAAACTCAAGAGTCGATAATTCTGAATCAATTTGTAACATAATCCGCAATGTATGACTCACCATACCCGGAAGAATTTGCACAAAACTCAAAATGCCGAACCTAATACAGAAGTTGTTGGCTTAGGGTCCGATTGGTAATTTCACAAAATCGAGAACTTACATAGGATAATGATGCCGATCGCTCACAGAAAATCTGTCTGATGTCAATAAGATATCAACTGTTTACGATCTAACCGCACCGAAGGGAGGGGGGTCGGGGTCAGGAGTAGGAGAGGTAAACCTCATCCGTCAGTATCTCCTCACAATAGGCCACGGCAACAGTGTTCGTACAGGAGCGACACACACCGTTAAACGCCAATTTAATTACAGGTGTCGGATCAGAAGATCCCTCGCCAAGTGATATCGGGTGAGCGCTGGGCTGGGATCCTGTGTGGCCCTGGGCACGGTCGACTGCGCCCTAAAAAGGACATGTTATCATCTTACATTTTGACAGTGTCGCAGCAGACTTGCACCCTACGCCACTCATACCGAGCTAGTGACGTCAGCTTTACAGGTTGTACCAGAAATATCGGGTGGTCTCTTATAACACTAATTCCCCTACCTTAACAATAAAATATTTGAAAGTTTTTTTTAAAAACGATTTGTTTTAATGCATGTATTTCCAAGTGATTTTTCTAGGACACTATCTATTCGACATGAAATAAGGGTTCATTTTTTAAAGTATCAAGCTAGTATCGGCTTTACTATCTACGGTATGACAGAACACCGAGGCGTGCTATTTGCGAATGTAGATTACAGATCATTTCCTCTGGCCCTTAATTTACGTTTTCCTCGTCTTCTGCCTGCTCATCATCAGTCAATCTTTCCTACTTAAGATAGGGGTTTCCCGTGTACACTTCCCAATGACGTCACATACAGGTTACCTGATGTGCCATGACGTCATCTCTATATCTGGGATCTCGAGAGGACACAGAGATTAGATAACTACATCATACAGACATCATGATAGCCCTCGACCCCTTGTTTATCCCAAACTAACGCAACAAATGTGTCAATTTATCAAAAGGAATTTAATGTATAAATCATTATGTACAAGATATTTACATACATTTGTAAATATAATGCCGAAAATGCATTAAGTGTAATTGTACTAACAATATTCTAAAATAAACAACCATAAGGTGTTCTTACTTATTGCATATCGTCACCCTATTGCGGGTCGCCCTGGCAATGAGCTCAAATACTAAATATTTATTACTGGTCGACTTAGATAGACCCAGACTCTGGAATCGTATCAAGAAAAAATGACATAATTTTGATAGCTTTGGTCGTTTCAAAGTTGGAACACAAGCTTGTACAAAAAAGCGAACAGTTCTCGATTAAAAACTCAGGGCTGTTAGCCATTCAGTTGTCGACCTCGTAATGCAATCCATACACAAACTCATTCTCCCTTAAATTACAATATGAAATTATATGTATTTTGGTGAAAGGCACGACGTGAGGAACAGAGACAATAAAGTTCGTTGATCTATGAAATAAAATAATTCTAAAACTAAAACTCTAACATCATTGTACTGTTGATGAGTATATGTAATTATAAATAACAATGCAAAAATGATTCTCCGAAGAAAGCACCCAGTGCTATAGAGACTTCGTCATCTTGTAGCACGTGATAGGTGTAAGCACCAATCATGTTAATTTACATTGAAGGATGACGAAAAGAACAAATTATGATGACGTCACATGTCAACACCGGTTACAAATGCTTCCATCAGAACGGGACTTTGGTTGGATACGTCATACACTAAGACGATGATACATACCCCTCGCAAACATACATACTTCTCTTTGAGACCTTCTTACAGATAATAAATAGAGACATATAATGAATTCTATTTGTAGAATATTTGTTGTGAAATGTATACATGGGGCAAAAGAGTCCCTCTGATCTACTTTCACTTTGGACATCGAACAGACTAAACTAGCACAACTAATATTTCTTTATGGTCAGACACCTGGACCAGTAATATTTCTTTCTGGTCGGTAGTAGAAAGTTATTGTGCATGTCCCCAGTAGAAATAGATATCCAGTTTGTAAAGCTTGTTGAGTACGAGATCACAAGGGTCACGTCACATACACAACAGTTCAGACATGTAGAACAAGTGACTTCAGGACCTAGCTGCACGTTCGAGTGACGTCACGAGTTATGTGAACCGGTTCCAAGTCTGATCAGTGGGGACGGCGGCGGGGATGGGGTTAAACATTTGGCGGGACACACCCATGTATTGGTAAGGCTGTGCGGTGGTGCTAGCCGGAAGAAAGCCGTGCTGAGAGGTGAACTGGCTCCCGTGGTGGTTACTATCATAACGTGGGGGAGGGGAAATGTTGTAAGAGTCAAATTGTCCCTGTGATGATGTCTGGGACTGACGAGGTGCTGACCTTGCACCTAAAGGCTCTAGTTTGACGGTTGTCTGGTCGTCCTCACCAATGTATTTACATGTCCCTGTGCTTCCAGTTGTATTCGGTTGGTATGAAGGGCTGTGCATGGGTGGCGACTGGGAGGAGGCGTTTGTGGCCGACTGTGGCGAGTGGTTGGACAGGTCGTACGGGGACGAAACATCAGAGTTTTGGGGCAGAGGGTAGGACGGCAGACACATTCCAGACGAGGATACCCGATAGTTCGACGTCCAGGAGGATGAGGTGGTGGTCGAGGCGGAAGCAGTTCCATAACAGGAAGTGTATTGTTCTGGCGCATGAGTACCAGGCATATGGGATGCTGTTGTTGGTAAATATTGATCCAATTCATGGTCGTCAAAATTGTCGATGGGAAGAACCATCTCTGAGGGATATGTATGCAGGTCCACACTCCGGAAGTCTATCGGATGCCCTATCAAACAAAAGGCAGCGTATTATATATCTTTACAAATGTAGAATAATCAGAATGTTATTTGTTAAACACACATTAAGCAATCTTTAATGAGAATTTGTTTGGAAACTTGATATACCCCAACTGGCTGTCATTGTCAGTAGCCCCAAATAATGGGCTCGGATCCGACCTCCGTCGGAGTCACGCGCTAGCAGTAACAAATAAAGTTCATAAAAACTTGTATCTTTGGGTGAATTGGAAGTGGGAATATTGGCGAGGTGGCCCGCTATCTGATCTGTGTTGTGTAACACCCAACCACAGATTCTCTAGATAGTACTACAAACGGTCAGGTGAGGGGACACTTGATTGTAAGTATATCATCTCCGGTATCAGAGCGGATTACAGACTAGGGTAGGTGCGGGCTCACCTTTGTGTAGATAAGACTGCTTCCGCGGGACTTAAAAACGGGACGAAATTCTTTAAGTCGAATGAATTTAACGTAATCCACATATAATTAGTTTACTTGTGGAGGGCATCATAACGGGGTGTATTCGCAAAACATTTATGGGTGGCTGGATTGTGACATACCTGGCACGTGTGGGCGGTGACGTAGACGGTCCGGCATGCACTTAAGTGTAATGAGGTCGTGCTGATTGGGTGTTGTAGGGGGAGTCGGGGGTCCATTCGGGTTGTGATTGGAACAGTCACTGCCCGAGTCTCCGTCACTGATGGCGGATGGCGAATGCTCGTTAAGGCCTTTGAACATGAGTCCAGGGGGCACCTGACCGCCATCCGTCTGCCCACCACTGGCACTCTTCAGGGGCTTTCTGCGTCTCGGCTGGTACTTGTAATCTGGGTAGTCCTTCTTATGCTGAACGCGCAGGCGCTCTGCTTCGTCTACGAACGGACGTTTTTCCTCCTCATTCAGGAGCCTGTGGAAGACAAAACAATTGAATACTAAGTTTTATTTAATACACAGAACCAGGTAACTAGTTTGGCAAACATATGGGAAGCAAACCATATGCATCGTTCTCCAGAATCATAATCAAACTTGTTTCCTTAAAATTTGGAATGACGAAAAATTGATGACAAAATCATGTCGAAGATGAATAATGGTGTCATTTTGCCATTGCGTCACTTGAAGCAAAAAACAATCGAATTTATTCTTGATTTTCGTCATAAGTGTTGGATATGTACGGGAAAACTGTCGTGTTTAAAATATTTGATGTTCGTGCGAATGGGTCAGTGGTATTATTTGTAATATCGTGTGTATGCTGGTGACTAATCCAAAGTGATACCTCTGTATTAGGGTTAATACTTCAGAGCGTGAGCACGGGTTTTATAGGTAATAGGTTTTGCGAACAATTAAAACGGTGATTTGGAGGTGTGCAGCCCGAGCGGCAGACAGGTGTTTGGCTCTTGTGGCTCTTTTTCTTTGTATGGGCCAAATGACAGGTAGTTTTCGGTAATTTTGACATATTAATTTATCTGCGTTCATTGTCGCTGGAGAGATCTGGAACATTTAACTCTCATGTAAATAAATCCTGATTTCACCCAGACATGAAAGCAACGTTTTTACGAAACGTTACATTTGTATGAGTGGCGTGTTATCAGGTTTGAACCTGCTGGTAAAGAGTTGTCATTTAACGGGATTTATGTTCATGAAATACCTCAAACCAATTATAATGAAATGAATTGCCTTCCATCACGAATCGTTAAATCATCGAGCGTCACAGATTTAAATACATCAGTACCGCTGTTTAGATCAAAACTCTTGTTCTAAAATATCATCAGAAAAAAAGGTTGAAAATCAAAGTAAATGTATTGTAAACAGATCGGTCATGAGCACACAGAGAGAGTTACAAGGCAGTTTGTGGACTCTGTTAGCGATGTATGTAACAGCACCAAACCCGTAGTCGTATTAAAAATAACACACCAAGAACGATAAAGTAACTCCCTACCGCCATACTGGAAAGATTCTGTGAATAAGTTGGCGTTAAGCGGATCACTGGAATAGCAAGTGATATGAATTACTTTCCGATTCTGAAATATGGATTGACCTCTATATCTTGTCAGGTCGGGCTTATGTAATGATTTGTTGGTTAGTTGTCCGCGATCCGTAGTACCTCCGCCACGCTGACAGGTGTCAAATGATGACGTCATTACCTTTACTTTACTTAGCGGCACAGAAACTAATGTCGTCTGTCAGAGGAAAGTAGAGAGATAATGTAGTTTACATCTCTCATCTACAAAACTTCCATCAGCGATCATGGGGAGGGGCGAATTGGGCACCCAGTTAATATATCTTCTTTCAGGAACGGATTTAACAGAGGTACGTCCCTGTCCTACAGGCCTACATAAAGGGGAGAGAAAAAAATAGCAAACACAACATCACTGCACTCAGTGCCTAATTTCCGGTAATCTACCCTGCCATTTGTCTCATTGCATGACACAAAACTCCACTTTACAAGAACACAGATTCTTTTCCCCCACTATGACTGTACTGTGAATGACCGTGCCGATAACAATAAGAGGAGAACGCAGGACGCCTCCGTGTGTTTTATATAGTGCGTGTGGTTTGTGAGAGAGGAATACGATGTGTACACATCAATTCTTACCTCGGATTAATTAACACTGAAACTAGTTTATACACAACACTTGCAACAGTTCGAAAATCTTTAAACGGCAAAAAGCAAATATGATGAATGGCTGTAAGGGTTAATGAGATCGCTACATATTGTTTGTGGTGTACCTGTCAACCTTACCAGATATGTAGGTACGTTACAATGGTGAGGTCACACTATCTCGCTGTAAGTGAAGAACCAAAGCAGAACAGTTTTCGGAACTGACCAAGTTCATGTATGGTCATTTTCACACGAGCATGAAAACGAGTGAGAAATATATGTTTTCGACCTCCAGTCATCAATCTTAGACAATTACTTTGTCGATAATGTGACGGATGATATGACCACAGGTGTTACGGGCGAGTATTATATGGAGCCCCCTCCGGCGCCGGCCCTTAAAGGGCCCAAAGTCACTTCTACGGTCCCTTGTACACACTACTCTAACGTATCTGGTCTCTAGTATACTGTAGTCTGACGTATCTGGTCCCTAGTATACTGTAGTTTGACGTATCTGGTCCCTAGTATACTGTGATCTGACGTATCTGGTCCCTAGTATACTGTGGTCTGACGTATCTGGTCCACAGTATACTGTAGTCTGACGTATCTGGTCCCTAGTATACTGTGGTCTGTCGTATCTGGTCCCTAGTATACTGTAGTCTGTCGTATCTGGTTCCTAATATACTGTAGTCTGTCGTATCTGGTCCCTGGTATACTGTAGTCTGTCGTATCTGGTCCCTAGTATACTGTAGTCTGTCGTATCTGGACCCTATTACAATCTAGCCTAACGTATCTGGTCATTGGTCAGTCTAGTTTAATGTAGTACAAATTACCGAAGCAATGCTATTGTAATCCGAATCCCCTATCGTACCTCAGATCCCTACTGTACCCCAAGACCCCTATTTTACCCGTGACACGAGTATTAGGTATGGAATAGAGAGATAAATCCCCGTAAAACAAAAACTGTAACTGTGTTTACATTTCCGTCCTCGGTATGCAATAAAATTCTCAGCACATAGCTTGATTCCCTTCTCCGAATTCTTATCTCATTTCTCTCACCAATTTAATGTTATTTTCTCTTGATAAAAAAATCATTTCGTTCTTTACGATCACATGAAAAGCTTAGAAGATATTTTTCTGTGTTGAGTATGAGTATAAACAATGCAAACGGTGACATGTCAGAGTGACTTTGTCGAACAGTTACAAGGAAGGATATATTTGGGACTGAGTGACGTTTGGTGTGACGTATATAAACCAGAGTGAATCACACGAAAGTTCGTACTAATAGCAGTCCCGAGGCGCTCAGACAACCCTAGAGGACTCCTGTCACAGGTTTGTGACGAGCTCATTTTGTGAATGAAAAATATCTACTCTTCAGAAAAAGAAAAAAAAAACGATTCAGCAGAAATAATTCAATGACAATACCAAGTAATATTAGTGGCCATTTTCCGTTATGATTTGTCAGTTATAGAAAGAAAGGACTTGGTGCCGTTAGTGGTAATTAGCCTTACCTCGTCCATGTGTATGTGTCGACCCTTTACTAATGAGTCCCACCACGATAGGTGTAAGGGCACTTTACTGAATGGGGGCTAGCCCCCTCGCATAGAAACCTTATTTGACGTTCTGACCGAAACACGCCTCCTCACCAATTAGTCTCAAATATAATTGAAAGTTTGTCACTTTAAGAGAAAAAATAATTTGATAATTGTGTTAAAATCTTTGACTTCATTCCCTTGATAAATAGAAACCATTTCATCAATTGTTAAGCACACCTTTTTTTCCCCGATTTCATTTTATTTTTTTCTTTTTATGGTAAGGACGGGTGTCGTAACGGGACACCATTGCCTATTGGCGTGTCCTAATATGTAGCGGTGAGCAGTGTATCCCTGGCACTAGGTGCCCCGTGTCCTGAATGCACATTTGAGGACTACTTGTCAACAGCCTATAATCTTTAATTAAAAGATGGTCCAAGTCTGATTGCGCTAATCTGCGGTCCATCACCGTTAACCCTGTCGGTCTTTACAGAACCCCCGATAACACCCGATCTAATTTGTGGGTGCTGTACCCGGGCCCGGCGGGGTAGAGTTGTCCTCATTCACCCCGCGTGCAGTCACCAGCCCGGGACACTGATCCTACAGATAGGCCCCCTAATCACTTTAATCACCGTAGAGGCTTACACGCAGTTTACACACTTTATCGACCGTGAAAAGATTTTAACACTTTTCACAGAAAAAACCTAAAAAGTAAGTAAACACTTAAACATTTTCAATAACATGACTTTTTTCACCGATATGTAACACGAAAGTATCAGACTATGATAGACACACAACTGAATTTTGTCTTAATGTAATGTACAAAAGGTACGATTTGATCGAGTCAGAAGCTGGTGTGTGCTTTGTTCGGGACTTTATCGCTCAGGAAATGGCTATTGGACTATGCGGACACACTTTTAACAAGGATATGAAATTGTTAACAGGAATTTCCCCTAACTTGGAGCTTATCGCCTCCTCTCGAGCGAATTAACAACATCGGAAACTCAACTCCGACATCACCCAATGTTATGTACTGGGACCTCGCTACACCGGCTTCTCAAGTACATCAACCACATGTGTCCTCGCCAGCTCATTCACTTTATAATTAATCCGAAACAATTTAAACTTTATCATTGAAATATACCAGTCTAATTTCAAATTATCACTTTGGTATATTAATTCATTAGGTGGTAAAGATAAATATCAAATGATACTGTAATATTACATAGTTTTTTAATAATTTTTTTGTTGTATTACCCCCGCCTAAATTCACCCCTTACCCCTCAGAAATATATATAGCCATTACATCTCTGCTTCGAATTTTACTTACTATCAATGCTGTGAATTAATAAAATGTTATACTACACAAAATAATTCATTGTTCATTCTATGAAATATAATTTATGTTATACTACAAAATAAAATCTCAGTGTCCATGCTGTGAATTATACCAAGTAATAAAGCTGTTAATTATTACAATGTTATACTACACCGTCTCAGCATTATCATTGAATTATAACAATGTTATATTTCACAATAACACCTTAGTATTAGCCCCAGTGTTATCTGTGAACCGAACATTGTTATACTTTGTAAATGATGTTTATATACGTCTATGAATTATAACAACATTTTGATATGGGTGATAAACCTTTCCTGTGCAAAACGCCGTTTAGTGTAAAAATTATGTTGTTACAAACTGTTTGCAAAATTTTAAACTAAAACTTGCTAAGTTAAAGGAAGACGCGCACTTTAAACACACCTATCGTGTAAGCTGGGAAGATATTACATGAAATGTCGAGACGATTATAAAAAACGACAATCGGAGAAAATTACAGCCGGATACGCCAACTTCAGATCAGTTTTTAATGTAAATTCATGAAAATATTCTAGAACGAAAAACAAACACAGTTTTTTATAGATATAATTAATAGTTTTCATTCAAAATATATTTCGTAGAGTTTAATTAATGGGATTTCTAGACAACGTCTACCCTATGTGACCGTGCCGATGCCGTTGTCAGACTCGATCTATTTCACGCATGCAGCCGACACCTGTTGAATTTTACACGCAAGAGAAAAAAAAAGAAAATGGAACGTGGTCCTAGCATATCATCCCGTCATTCTTTTCTTTCCCCACGTCCCTCCTCCCTCTGCATCAGACTATCGTTCCCCAGTATCAACCGGGCTGGGATTTACGAGATTACAACACCAGTAATCCACAGAACGAGGAATGTGTCCCCCTCCCCGTCTATTCCCCCCGTCCCGGTTCTCAGGTCGTCGTCCCGACCTCGGGAGCAAGTTACGCAGTCGTCCTATGGGAAATATGTTAACATTACCACAACATCTACAGCTATGTTGACACTGCCAGATAGCCCCGTACGCACGAGAAAATACCGTTATCGATAGTCCTGATTATCACAACGCTGATATTTAAAAACAGTAAATTATTAAGTAGTTTGTACATCTGTCATTTGTAAGCGTTTTTTTCAGGGTAAGATTTAATATAATGTGAAATAAAAGTTGTGTTCATATTGCACAACCTTGTATAATAACTTAAATCAGTAATCATTAGCTCTGTTTTTGGTTCAGTTAACTGACTTAGAGTGAAGAAATAGCTTTCTTCTCTCTCTCTGTAAAGGTGAACTATAGATTTAAAAAGTTTATTAAAATGTACGACAAATTCTAGAGTTACAAATGTTAAAAGTAATATTTTTTATATCAGTAACCGTTGCTGTTCAATTATATTTAGATTTTCTCTGTCTTCCACAGCATTTGTATTTTAAGTTTAAGTCAATTTTCATGAAAACAAAAGACAAATGGATTGTATTTAAGCTATAACAACTTGCTTTACGTCCTTACCGTAACAAATTGTATGTAATTGTATGTTAGGTACTGCCTCCAAAACAGATGTAATCTCTACACATGTTTTTGGAAAATAAAAACCTGATCGACAGCCAATATTTTACATTTAATCAATGAAAAGAATACCATACTGTAATTCAAACAAAACAAATAATATCAAACATTTTAACTTGATGAAATACAAAGAATTGAGTTACTAAACTGTGAGAGCACTTGAGTGTAGTAGCACGTGAACTGTTAAGAAATCACATAAATTTATATCTGTGGACAAGGGTTGTTAAACAAGTGGTATCCTTGTACTATATAATACTGTAACCTAGCCAGTTTATCTACACATCGTTATTAGCATCGTTCAAAAATTGATGCTGTGCAATATTTATAAAATATTCTTGAATCACGCATGACGACAAGATACAGAAAAGAATAGGTAACAAAGTCATGGGAAATTTAATGTAGTTGGAGATGTTTAACGATGGTATTGTCACGCGCGGCTAGTTATTCGGCGGGTAGCAACACTCAGATATACCGCTCGGATACCTATAACAAGTGTCTACCTAAAACACATCTGTCACGTTTTAATTAAGATTATGATAAATAAACACGTCGTTAATTTTTGAAGATATTTTCACGGTTTCCTAACAAATTAAATTAATATTCCCCGATAAAAAGTTTGTTAAAACATAAGTAACAAACAATATCAGTCCTTTTTTTGACATAGCGACATTTTACAAAACTAACGGTCGGGTGGGTGGGGACGTGTCGGGTGAAGATCGGCCTATCATGTGACAGTTCTACATTTATTTTAATTCGTCCTTTCTATCACAACAATTGTTCTCATTTATTTGTGGTATCATTTTTTCTAACTCCTGAAGTTTTATACTTTGTCAATCTATACCTAGTGTAAACATTTTACAATATCAAAGAAATGGATATTATAGGAACATAAAATGTTGTCCGGCATTCGAGTGTTTTATGTCTATAATTTACATAAATCTACTTATTTTTATTCGAGTTTGTGTATCTCGATATAACTTCGTAATATATTCCAGGGCCTTATCGTCAGGGATGAGATACTTTATCCAGAAGCTAAGTGGCCGGTCCCCGTTCCTCTCAAGTACCGCCGTCTACAGGTATAACTCACTATGATTTGGTCCCGAGTAATTTATATGTCACTTCAGTAACACTTCGTCGAGATTCAGAACATTATTCATTTACAAAAGTATTATAGAAATATTGAAAACTAAATGTAATTCGGTAGAAATTTAGGACTTTTTTAAGCGGACATTTTACGTAACCAGCGGACTTCTCAATTGAGAGATGAATACTTATAAGTTAAATTTACAGGTAAGAAACCTACCTCCAGAGTTTGCCTAGAGTCTTGCTGAGCTCGGCATTGTGTAGATGCGGGTACTGATCGGCCAGCTTCCTACGTGCAGCCTGGGCCCAAACCATAAAGGCGTTCATCGGTCTCTTGATATGAGGTTTCCTCTTCTCGCCGTTTGGGCCCCTTTGGGGCATGGGCACTAGGGACCAGTCGTAGCCCTTCAGGACTTGGGACACTGCATCCTGGATCTGTTTTGGGAATTTATCTACGTTCAGTCCCTGTGCACCAAGTTCTGCTGGGGTTAGAGTTTTGTCGTCCTGGTGAAGGAGACCAGCCCCGGCCCCCCGGACAGCGTCCAGAAGCTGTTCCGTGGAAGGCTGCTCCAAAGGAGATCCTCGGCTCTCATCAGAGTCACTCATTGTGTTAAGTAATTAATCCGTGTTAATCCTATGCACTCTGTCTCACCACGTAATCTAGCACTATCAGTGTCACACTCTATATTTATGTAGCCTGTTATAATATTGTCCTGATCCTTGTCATCTCACAAACACAATAATTGTTTGAAGGTTTTACGTACAATATAAACTCACCGTCAGGGACTTGACATGCCAGCTCAAGTGACAGACCACGCCCCCTCCGCTCGAGACGTGACGCACAGAGCAACCTGCCGGCCAATCAACGGCCGCGATAGCGCACCATAAAACACACTTGCTAATTCTGACATCACAATTAACGTAGCTCACCTAATGCTGTTTTTTATTTGAAAACAAAAGGACACATCGCAATTTTCATTGGCAGCTGTAGCATTTTGTACGAGTTTTGTTTTGAATAATTCCTGTTTGTGAAGCAGACTTGTATAAACATGATGATTTCAACACACCAAGGAAGTCAAACTTCGTTTTCAAATCATAATTCTAAACGTATTCACGATGTTGTGATTCATTTTTGTATTTACTTTTTATGAAAATGTTCTCTCCTATGCCTTCCTGGTGTTATATAAAAGTATGTGTTAGGCACTTGTCCCCGCGGTCTATCAGTATATCCTTATCCTTCCGACTTGAGAGTTTTCTCATGTGTTTTATTTAAAACAGAATAGCGTGCATCCTTATCCACACTTACTCCTATGATACGGAATGGTAGCAGGAGATTTGGAAAGGCGTTCCGTTACTTTGTTACTTACCAAAAAGACTGGGACAGGTTTTCCGTCAAATCTTTGAGGATGAGAAACTAATATTGACAGTAGAATGACGATGGAGAAAGGGACAAAGAGGTTTAACTCATCATCTGTCAAGTAACTTACTTTCATAACATATTTCAAATATATAAATCTCTTGAACATATCAAAGTCTTAGAACTGTATATGTAACATTTACAGAAATAATAACATACAAGTCACCAAGTCTCTCTGCACGGTAATAGATCCTGGGGTCTTTAATAGTAGTAAAACATGCTTATGAATACGCCCAAGTTTTTAGTGTAAAGTCAGGATTTTTGACATTTCATTCTTAACTCTTAATTGATTTACAGTTACGCTTGCACCAGTTCCTATGTTGGTAATACTGCTGTATCTGTTTATATTTCTTAATGGTGTTTATTTTGTATCTTTAGTTGTATCTGGTGTTTAGTTTGTATCCCGTGTGTAATGTTGTATCTGGTGTTTAGTTTGTATCCACTGTGTAATGTTGTATCTGGTGTTTAGTTTGTATCCACTGTGTAATGTTGTATCTGGTGTTTAGTTTGTATCCACTGTGTAATGTTGTATCTGGTGTTTAGTTTGTATCCACTGTGTAATGTTGTATCTGGTGTTTAGTTTGTATCCACTGTGTAATGTTGTATCTGGTGTTTAGTTTGTATCCACTGTGTAATGTTGTATCTGGTGTTTAGTTTGTATCCACTGTGTAATGTTGTATCTGGTGTTTAGTTTGTATCCACTGTGTAATGTTGTATCTGGTGTTTAGTTTGTATCCACTGTGTAATGTTGTATCTGGTGTTTAGTTTGTATCCACTGTGTAATGTTGTATCTGGTGTTTAGTTTGTATCCCGTGTGTAATGTTGTATCTGGTGTTTAGTTTGTATCCATTGTGTAATGTTGTATCTGGTGTTTAGTTTGTATCCAGTATGTAATGTTGTATCTGGTGTTTAGTTTGTATCCACTGTGTAATGTTATATGTGGTGTTTAGTTTGTATCCAGTATGTAATGTTATATCTGGTGTTTAGTTTGTATCCACTGTGTAATGTTGTATCTGGTGTTTAGTTTGTATCCCGTGTGTAATGTTGTATCTGTAGTTTAGTTTGTATCCACTGTGTAATGTTGTATCTGGTGTTTAGTTTGTATCCACTGTGTAATGTTGTATCTGGTGTTTAGTTTGTATCCACTGTTTAATGTTGTATTTGGTGTTAAGTTTGTATCCACTGTGTAATGTTATATGTGGTGTTTAGTTTGTATCCAGTATGTAATGTTATATCTGGTGTTTAGTTTGTATCCACTGTGTAATGCTATATATGTGTTTAGTTTGTTTCCACTGTGTAATGCTGTATATGGTGTTTAGTTTGTAATCACTGTGTATGTTATATCTGTGTTTAGTTTGTATCCAGTATGTAATGTTATATCTGGTGTTTATTGTGCGGTATCTGTCCGTCAGTGATTACAAAATGAAAATGATATAACTACTTGCCTCGAGAAAAAGTGATATTAGGTTCGATGAGATGCTGATCTGATATCAAAACTCTATTGATACCCGTCTCTAAAATGTTATACATTTCTAAACGTCCTAGTTAATGTTTTATAACGATGATCTTGTCAACACAGTCAGGAAAAAAACAAGAGTTGACTAGTCAACGGAACAATAAATCTAAATTTCTCATTTGTTATAAATATTATTAACATAGCTGCTATTGAAAGAAGACGTCTTAAAGTATATTCCATTAGTAAACTTCGAAGACCGTTTTTACCTGAATTCCTTTCAAATGCAGACGTATGATTAACATTTTGAATGTATTTACCACTTTATTAAGATGAAAATTTATTTGGTTATTCTGATGTTATTACATAGATATGTAAGGAAAGAGTTAATTTCTTTCTTTGCTTTGAATAGTAGATTGCAAAGTAGATGTTCTGCTATTGCATTATTTTTTGTGCTTTTTAGTTAATGCTAATGCCACTGTAGGTTTAGAGGGCGGTATGACGGCCAATCAGTGACACGGGACACTTCATAACACAGGTAGTACATGTGTACAAGTGATGATTGACAGATACCTATGGGACAAGCCACGCCCATGTTCATTCATAAATTCCTGTACAGGTAGAGCTATACGGAGTGTAGTATACACCTATACAAGTGATCTACATTGTTTGATATCTGGGTCAAGCGGCCAGATAACATGATATAAATATAAACATTTCTATTTCATTTTTTTTCTATATGAATAATTTGCTCTCGTGATATTCGGGTACAATCCCACGAGCATCTTGTCCCTAATGTTGCCGGTGGTAGGATTCTGTCTACTAAAGTATCGGCAAACCATTTGGAAAACACTAGTCCAAAATCAAACTTTCGTGGCTCTTTCTGTCACAACCTGCTGCCAAGTGTATCAATATTTTAATTCTGCTGCGAGAGATCAGTATATTCTGTCGTGGATTTAATTTGTTTTTATTTTAATCATTTAAAAGTATTGTCTCGAGTTGCGGGTACCAGGTCTGTTGGCCACCCGATGCCGCTGGACGGCGAGACCGGGTCGGACATCCGACACCGGCGGGTACCCGGGAGACATTTCCCGTTAAACAAGGGGAGTAGGGCGCGTTCGTACAGGTTTATAAACATGGAAACCACTGATGGATTACCCACTCGTTATACAATACGTCTCGACATGGCCCGTGCACAGAATCACACACTACAGCATTATTTGGTGTTGTTTCGGTCCAATTCTAGATATTTAAGATAAACCGTATAGAATTAAAACTTTCTTTTCATGTCTAAATACATGTGAAATGTGGATTTTTTTAACAAATGGGAACATCATTTAAAGTATAAAGTTTTATTATACTATTACTATACAGGGACGTCCTATTATTATTACGCGTCCCTATGGACTTCTTGAAATACATCCCTCTATCCATAATTAAATCAGGTTCTGGCAATCAACTCTCCATTCCGTCACTAAACAATTTTACCGTTGTTATCTACGAGTAAATAATTTCCTCAGTGGTTGTAACAAAACTTCCTCTCGTGACAATGTCATCGCAGACCTGATGTTAGTAGAAATATATCAATTAATACCGAGAACAAGGATTCAGTCCTAACACCATACGCTTTGTTTGAGTCATCAACAAGATGTAACAAACTAATCGAGATCATATTTAATTTTACTGTATATATTAGTGATAATATACTATGGTAAGTATAGTCACGTGTTGCTGCCAGCAGAGTATGCGCCTTTACAACCTTTAGAAAATTTAGTCACAACTATTTTAACTTTGATATAACTAAACTTGGAATCGTAAAACTAAATTTTTAAAAATACAGGGAACAGATATACATGTGATATGAAGTAGATTAGCACACTCAAAGAGAAAAATTATTTCTACGAATATTACAACAATTTTTTTGATTGACATAAAAACAGCATTACATGTAAAATCCAAATACAGTAATTTACGTCAAGCATGTCTACAAATGGTATCTTATTGGTGTGTACTAAGTAATATTTAATCTATCTATAAGTTTTCAAGTCCCATATTATTCAATAGATTAAACTTGTTTGACCACATATTACACATGTCAAGTGTATCAGACGGTAAACACTATTGGTACTGACATAGTGGTATCGATCATGCATGTGTACCTAAAAGATACACTCAGGATATACTGAGGACAATATAGCAAGTATCCAGTAAATTCTACCGAAAAACCAAACTAAGTCGGAAATCGCGAAACGTCTTAAATGTGACAATTGGGGAGATAACTCTGTCGTCACGGTGTTGTTGCATGACGAGTCTTTGATGTAGGAAGGACATTCAACACTGCTGGCGTTAATGGGGTCACTGTCCCGCTAATGTATGCGCAAGACACTGACAAAAACACCGACCATCGACAACAGCCTCCTCGCAATCACGTTATGCCCTCTTACTACAAATGGTTTACGTGGTACTGTCGACCGTGTCCAATAACTCATATCAGCGTGACAGTAATTTTGGGATTAGTGAAGCAAAATCTATCTATGTTTAAGTCCCTGGTTATAGAAATACTGGGCCACCATTTTACTTCAGTAGTCAGACCATCAGTATGACATGTCGTTATGATCATATGCTGACGAACTCAACGTCATATCTTCAGTGACATTCGTGCAAACAACTTGTAGCTTGCATATAATTTTTCAACTCATATACTAATGTTTTATCCAATCATCCAACGCTAAAAAAGAAAAAAAAAACCTACACATAAGTTAAAGGTCAAGGTCGTGAAGGGTAACGAACATGTAGCTTAAAGTCATTTGGGCAGTTTTATCTCCTTGCGATTACAGTGTAATTACAGTGTAC